CTCACATTCAATTAATTGTTACAATATACTTCAAAACCAGTCAGTTACACCGTCAGTTACATTTGTTTTAATATTTTCTTAAGTGATAAAATGTTACTGCTACCTAGGTTACTTTTGACTACACACACAAGCTCCGGTTAGCTGGAAAAATAACTGCCCCAGAGGCTCAGTGGGGTGTACATAATATCAGCCTAACAAAACATATATTTATTATCAGGATAGACTAATTAAGATGCACATGCATACAAATGGCAAAGAAGCTGACAGCCCCCTCACCCCAATCGAATCACTACTCCTCCCACAGCTCCCAGCCTCTATCTCTGGCCCCCAGTACAGTAGGCTTGGGCGGTATTACTTTTTTTTACCCTCATATTGTCCATATGTGGGGGACTATTGCCATGCAGTGTCATGGATCTGTGCCTGTTCTTTAATGTGCTGACTAGGACTAGGGCTAAGTAACATTACCCCACAGTAAATTTTGTCAAGCGGAGGGGGGTTAACACAGCCTACAAAATTTATATGATTCATCTTCTTAGTTAATATAACCTAAGTTGACTGTTTCTCAAGCTGGTTTGTGCGGCTCCAAATAAAGTTAGTGAGAACATTTTTCAATGAACGGTTTGAACAAGCACCTCTCCGCAGCGCAATCCCCAGTGAAGCAGTTTAATGATAAATCAAAAGTAATAGTATAGTGGACAAAATGTTACAATACAACTAAACATCGTTAGCTTAACCCATTTCAAGTATCTCTTTGGGGGACTGGGGAGGACATAAGACAAGCTGAGTTGGCAGTATTACCAAGCCTACCAGGGAATAAACTACAGTCCCCCCTGAACGAAGTTGGCCAGTATTGTGTTGGAGTGGAATCCAAATCAGACCTGAAATTTATCAAATACCCTTTTCTTTGCTATCACTATGTGGTGCTGCTTAAGTTTTGGGCTGAGTTATCTCAAAATGTAACAATTTACAGTTTTTCACCCAGACAATATGTCTGCAAAAGTTTGAAAAAGATCCATTAAATACTTTTTGAGGTACCATGTTAACAAGAAAGTTTCTGCAGCAGTTCCATACTAGTTGTAAAGCCATATGTATTCCCTGTCCAGGAAGTACACTTAGGGTCTGAAATGTAAGTTTTTATTATTCTTTATTAATAAATATGAGTTTAAAATTCTACTCATGCACTCTGGATTTATTCGAAGATAAATGACAACATTACTGGTACGTAGTAATGGGCCATAATGGCCAATGAAAGGGGTTTTGCTGGTGAAATGGTCCACTCATGGCCTGAAAGAATCAATCCTTCCGAGATATGATGAAAATTAATAAGAAAGAAATTGCTTGGATAAACATACAAAATAAGTAACAGTACACACCCTAGCCCACTTATTACATTGGGAGTCATACTGTATCTTTACCCCCACCCCCACACCACTGCCAAAACAGCTCAGTTTTACTAGATTTTCAGTCACATGCCGCCAGTCTTGAAACTAAAGTACAAACATTAAAATCTCAATCTATAGGAGTACATTGTTCAGCTCAGCTAAATGTAGGTTTTAATTAAAACTTGCCGTGTTAAGTTGGAAGTATGAAGTAATTTGGGGCTATGGTACTTTAAACATTTACACTTCATCTGAGATGCACTGCTTTAATTTGAGAGGTGGCAGCTCCATTTTAATTTTAACAGAGGAGCTTCCATTTAAGAGAGAGATTGTATAATTCATAAATTGCTCTTACTGGCAATAATGAAGCTCAGTCACTGTAGTGGTGAAGCCAATCCAAAGGTCTTCAGCGGGTACTGAGATGTTTTTACACTCATTTTTATGAATTTGTGTACAGACAACAGTGTCCATACTTATGCCATATGAAGGGCAACAAACTGGCTGCAAAAAGTCAAACTGCAAATGGCACTGCCAATAATACAGTATAATTTGAAAATACATAGTTTTTAGAGCTGTCATTTTGCTTTCTATTCACATAAACAATACTATAGCAACAGTATAGTTACAAATATAATTAGATTTGTTTTTGCTTTAGCATAACATACACTGAGACTGCAGTTCATAAACACACAACAATTTACATACATTAAAGATAAGTAGGAAAGGTAAAAAGACTGACCCCCCCCCACAATGACAAACAAGAAAGAAGTACTTGTTGTACAGGTTCAGGAAATAATTCAGTAAAAAACATTCTAAATAGAAGCAATTAATATGTAGCTCAAAATTATACATTTTCATTCATAATATCACACAACTGTATTCATTCACATGTCAAAAGAGCCTGAGAGAGCTTCCAGTATGGATAATGATCCTTTCAGTAACAAGGAGGAAATTGACCCCAAAGTAAAGTAGTTTCCTCCTAATCTTAACAATCTTCAATGATGAAATGCTAACTCGAAAAGGGGGCTGTCAGAACGACAGCAATATATTCCCCAAACGGGCCCATCATCCGGCTCTGCCCATCTAATCCATACTTTTCCCTTGCTGACCAACCTGTACAATTTCTACAAGTACTGGATGTATCACATGGAAATGTGAAAGTTAATGAATGTGTTTTTACCTGAATGAGTCCCTGTTGTGACATCTGAGTCTGTAACTCTGAAGCTACACTTACAGTATTCATTTATTTCACATTCCACTTACATGCCAATTTGCTGAATCTTTTCCATCCACTTAAGCGGTTACCTGCATTTCTTTGCATATGTATTAATGCCTATGTATTAAAATGTCATCTGTGTTATTCATATTTTTTTATTTGTCTAAATATTTATATTCTATGTATTCCTCATTTGCACAATGACCAACATTTTCCTACATCACAGTAAAAACTGTAACATAAAGCAATATTATACAAGGAGCCCTGGAGGGGGCAAAGACAGTTTAAATTTTTTTGTTGGTACTATGCACTAAATTGTTTAGTTTAACATGCCCACAAAATCATGCTTACAAAATCCCTAAAATGTGCGCACAATTTAGTAAATTGTACTCATAATAAATAAATAAATAAACAAACAAACAAAGCCCTCCAGGCTCCTGGTCTGGGCTCTTATAGACGTACATGAACCCCATTGCGATTTTGGTATAGACGGAGCCCTGGGACCATGGATAGTTTTTTTTTTTCATTTTTTTTATGGCCACAGTGCAGAAATTAGGAGTTACAGTACGAGGTATGGTCTGCTTCTTAATACCGCACATTGTAAAAAGCATATATCATTGCTGAAATACACCCATAGGTGGAATACCTGCAGCAGTGGGGGGTCGGTCCCAAAGTCGTATGTATTCCCTGTCTGGGAATGTACACAAAAATCATGTTATATGGGGTCCGTACATGTGTTGCTGTTATCCACAGTTTTGGCTATCCACGGTAGGTCCTGGAACATATCACCCACATGTATAGGGGGACTACTGAGTCTTTCAGTTCTTAGTTGGGGGATTTTCTCCCATTCGTCCTTGCAAATGGCTTCTAATTCTGCAAAATTCTTGGGCCACCTTGCATGCACTGCTCTTTTGAGATCTATCCACAGATTTTCAATGATGTTTATGTCAGGGGACTATGAGGGCGATGACAAAACCTTCAGCTTGCACCTCTTGAGGTTTTCCATTGTAGATTTTGAGGTCTGTTTTGGATCATTATCTTCTTGTAGGACCCATCCTCTTTTTAACTTCAAATTTTTTTTTTCAGATGGTGTGATGTTTGCTGCCAGAGTTTGCTGGTATTTATTCAAATTATTCTTCCCTCCACCAATGACATGTTCCCTGTGCCATTGACTGGCACACAATCTTCCACCCCAGTGTTTAATAGTTGGACAGATGTTCTTTTCCTGGAATTCGGCAGCCTTTCTTCTGCAAAAATACCTTTGCACATTGCGGTCAAAAAGTTATATTTTGACTTCATCAGTCCACAGGTCTTGTTTCCAAAATGCATCAGGCTTGTTTTGATGTTCATTTGCAAACTTCAGATGCTGAATTTTGTGGCTAGGATTCAGGAAAGGTTTTCTATTGCTGCCTCTACCGTGAAGGTCATATTTGTTCATGTGTTGCTGCAGAGTAGAACGGTGCACCACAACTCCAATGTCTGCTAAATCATCCTGCAGGTCTTTTGTAGTCAAATGGGGGTTTTTATTTACCTTTCTATCAATCCAAGGAGCAGTTCCTTCAGAAAGTGTTCATGGTCTTCCAGACCTCAACTTCAGCTCCACTGTTCCTGTTAGCTGCCATTTCTTATTTACAATATGAACTGAGGAGAAAGCTATCTGGAAACGCTTTGCTATCTTCTTGTAGCCTTCCCCAACTTTGTAAGCATCAATTATTTTATTTTTCAGAGTGCTAAGCAGCTGCTGATTGTTGGCACAAGGTCTGAGGAGTCAGAGAATTTGTACAGCTTTGCAATTTGGGGTTTCCCAGCAATGACAAGCTCATAGTCCTAATGAGCTAATGCAGGTCTGGGACTTGGGTACGCATTATCTGAGACCTCAAATATCGTGGGGTGCCCAAAGTTTTGTTTCAGGCCATTTTCATTTTTATGGTATTTTGTACTTGTGATTGATGGAAATAGAAATAGAAATTGCTTAAAATATTAAAGAAATGTGTCGTTTTTAACTTTATGCTGTCACACCCCGCTCCGTCCGATCCTAATGTGTGCCACGCCCCCTCGTTAACCTCATGTGGAATCCCAGTGTTTTACAGCTGTCTCGGATTGTTGTCATTAGTTCAGTGTATTTAGTCCGCGTTTCCGTTTGTATCCCCAGTCCGGTCATTGATGTGACGTTATAATGTTGCGTGCTCTGTGCACTGTGTTTTGGATTAAACCCCTTATTCCCCGATTCCTGGCTTCCGTTCGCCTGCTTCCCCGCTCCATGCTACACGCGCCGTGACATATGCCTTTTGCTGATCAGTTCTTCTACTAACTTAACTATTCACAGTAACAGAAAACTTGGAAACTTCTGCACACCACTGTTTCAATAGGCCATTGTGCTTTACAGGTAGATTATATTTACCTACCTTCACAATTTGTGAAGTCTCCAATGGCAGACGTATAGCCCCTTTTGCACTCACAGATGGCTTTGGTATTATAGTTTTTGCATACAGAGTTCTCTCCACAATAAATTCCCTCAGCACAGAAGTCATAACCTGAAGTAAAACAGAAAAGGAATGAAATTTTAGTTAACTTACTGCATGGTCACAGAAAGTTCAAAAGGCAGGGATTAAATAATTCATAATGCCTTGCAATGCATTATATCACGGATGTGAATACATTATTGTGCATGCTCCAAAAATGAAAGTGCTTTGTCTGCTCCATTTTTAACAATGAGGTGTTGTGTCATTATGCAGAAGTTGCCAAAAGATTGAATAGACTGTTATAGGGTATTTTTAGATGGGATTTAATTGTAACATCATATATCACTTTTCTTCGTGTCGTATAAACATTATTTTACTGAACAAAAACAAATCACTACATGAGTCTTCTTGGACTAACTTACATAATGTAAAATCCATTCTTTTTGCTAATATAAGAAAAATGAGCCCATATACTGTATATATATAAAAATATATATATATATATATATATATATATATATATATATACACACACACACACACATACTGTATATATATATATGTCAGATATTTGACTGGTATTTGGCAGCTGCTTTCTTGGCATCCTTCTCTTTTCAGTGGTTGTTGATTATATAGTTTTCTTATCCACAGCATGCCAAGTTTGCAGCTTGTCATTGTAAAGACACCCCCATTTAGGACACTAGCAAACTGCATCTGACATTTACCAGTAGATGAAGGAATACAAATGTATATAATTGTTTTGAAGTCCTCTGAAGTCCTTTAAAGAATGTATTTTGACTGATGATGCATACAGGGAAAAAGAAACCATTAGGTTGCCACAATCCATTGTTACAATCCAAGAATATATAGATTAAGGGATTATTGAGAAATGCCTAATTCCACAGGGAATACCTGTACCAAAGAAAGATAACACACACCAGGCAATGAACAGATAGTATGGAAGGTAGACAGGCTTTGTTAAAGAGGACAAATGTGTGTGCAGCAGTCCAGCAGAATGTAATAGACATCCCACTTATTTTATCCCGACCCAGTTTGTTACAAACAAACCTTAAATCAGGTAATGAACCAGATTTCATATGATGGAAGTGGGTTATGCTCTATTAAAGGAAGAAACTTTAATGTCTTACAAAACAAACAATGCTTAATGGTCAGCTAAGTGTAACCATTGTGGCAAATGTGAGGCATGAGTACTGATGAATGCCACACATCAGAGAACAATTTCATGGAATATATTTAACGATTCAAATAAACCAGGAGGTCTTTATGTTTCTCCTACAGTTATTCCATGACTAATGCCACCATAACCTATTGGAATATTTATTTTCTCCTATTTATCAGTTCAGTGTTTACTTCAAAGTGTAGACCATTCACAGTCTGTTCACAGTTCAGTCAGTATCATATTGCAGTAGGCAGAAATATCTTCCAAAGGGGCTGTGGTCTGTAGCCTTGTTAGAGCCTCAATCTCTAGATTCTGTCTCCTGACAGACCAGATGGAAGGCAGGTGGACATGAAACCTACCTCTGCAGACATTGCAGCATTTGTTTTCTGGAAGAATCTGCTCACTCACGGTACAGTTGAGCTTAGGACAGCTGTCAGTCACATTCACCATCACTCCATTCTGCAGGGACAGAAATTAATTTCATGAATATTAAAAAAAAATACAAAAAAAAACAGTACACTAAAGATGTGCGTACAACATACACATTACATGGCTGTATTATATAACCCAGGTTAGACTTCTGTCATGACGCCCAGTAATTAACTACCTTCAAGGATACACTAACATTTCTGAAACAAATGCTAGTGAAAGTAAAGGAAGACATGTCAAAACAGCTCTGCATTTACAAGTGAAAAATGATTTTACTTGGCTACTTGGCTTTCAAAAATGATTTCTCAGACAACACTGACTCTACACAAGAGGTGCAGGTATACACTGTACACTAAGCA